GGAAGAAAGACTGAGAAAATAACAGCAATCCACAAAAAGGAAGAAAACTTATCACTCTAGAAACAGAATAAAAAGGGAAGGATGTAGGTATTTCACAGAATGGCAAAAGAGAAGGAAGAAAAAAACATGAGGAATTAAGGAAATATTCACCTTCAAGGTTTTATTTGCCTGTTCCAAATTTTCAGCATAGTGGCCATAAAGCTCCAGATTCTGACAGAAATTTTCCAATCCAGGTCCCAAATTCCCCCTCTCCAGGTGAAGCGACAGAACACTGTGCACAAGAGCAAAGACAGCTCATGAGGCGTATGTTACTGATGGCTTTTTCACAGCTCCCTCTGGTCCACCCCTAAGCTGACCTTCCTTTGTCAGTCTCCACCTCACATCCAGTTTCTGTGCCAAACACATGCATGGCGGTCACAGAGCAAGCTAAAGAAAACATCCTCTAAAAATAATGCATATCAGACTCACCAGGTTTGAGCCACTCTCCAGAGAGCAACTGGACACCCACATACGTGGATACAGATCAGCTGTTCCTGGGTACAACCTGCATGTGTCACCAAGGCTAGCAGGGCTGGAAGTGAACGCCTGCTTTACGAGGTGCTAGCTTTATTTTCTGAAATCTTGCATTCTCATCAATATAGGGTCCTCCCCATATAATTACAGAAACACACCAGTGTGTTCACTTACTGGCTGGCTGAATATATGGATTCCAGGGGTCCAAATACGGCTTCCAGCACAGCAGGTTTCAGCGTCCCTTTGGCCTTTAAAATTGTCACAAAGAACTAAGCAGGCAAAAAAAAAAGAGAGAATTTGAAACAGATAAAATTCACAGGTCACTCAAAGGTTACTCGCAGCACACAGGAGTAGCAAGAAGTTGCAGCCTGCACACTCTTTAGCTTGAAAGGACATCCAATATCATGAATACTTATCTAATATCTATCATCAGATGCGCCTTCTTGGTAAATTTGGCCATAACTGTAAACACATGGAACAGCACTGATAGAGTCTATTTCAGTATTCCCAGACACATCTGGTTTTCACCACCTTGTTCAGAATCTCTTTTTCTCGTGCCTGTGCCCCTGTGTTTCTTACATCTCAGGCATCTTAAGGCAAGTCCCCTAAACAATCAAAACTTAAATATTTACATCTGCGTACAGACCAAAGCCAAGGTGCCAAAACTATGAGCTGTCAGATATTACAGAGGAGGTAAAGAAAAACAACAAAAAATCCTTTCAGCCCCAGCAGTTGTCCCATGCAGCAGGGATGTACCAATGTCCTGACCTTCACCCTTCCCCACAACACCACAAATAAGTAGGTGCTGCCTGAATGTACCCACATATCAGAAGGCATCGAAATACTCACTGTGACCACCAAATCCAGCTGCTCAAGGTATTTGTGTTCGGTTTCCAGCAGCTCCTTGGCTGTCCGGCTGCGCTTTCTCTCCCAGCGAGCCCTCTGCTCTCCCACAGCATTTGCTCCAGCCATAAACAGCACGAACGAGTCACTCATGACAACCGCAGGGTTGATACAAAGACATGCTGAAGAGCCAAGACAGATGGACACACAGCAGAATAACTTATGCCATAAAGTAGGATTCCAAGCTACAAACTCTACGCTTTACTATAAAAGAAGGGAAGTCACTTGCCAGCAACTGTTATTAACAGCTTCCTTTTGCTTTCCTACCCATGGGTACAGGAGCCCTGCATCAACCAGCGGAGCAGCATTAGAAAGAGCAGACCACGAAAGCAAAAGCAGCACACCACGATACATCTGTAAGCAAATCTCAAGTCTGCAATCCCACTCGCAAACAACTGCTTCCCGTGTTTTGCCCCATTCTTCATGCAAAATTCTCAATAAACCCAAGTTGGTGGGTGGAAGAGGTGCTGCGGGTAGGAGTAGAAAACCCGCCATAAGGTTTGTCTTGTGGGGGTGGGAAGAGAGAGCGCGTGAGCACTCCTGTTTGTTTTTCCGTGGAAGTTTCCAAGAAGAAAGGGCTTTGCATTGTCATTTTCTAAAATCAGTTTGTTGTTTCAGAGATGAAAGAGACTGAGCAAACGCTGTGGATCACACTATCCACTACTACCCAGCTTTGCTGCTACTCTTCTGCAACATCATCATGGTTTTGTTACAGAGAAAAACACTCCCTCTTTTATCACTTTCTCTAGGAGAAAGGGGCATGTGTAGGCAGAGCACCACTTAAATATTGCTCTGCCTTTTGACTAAAAGGCAGTGCAGGCTGTTGCACACTTGCCACCGGATGAAGTCTGTGATTTGTCTGAAAACTGAGCTACTTCCACAAAGGTTCTGGCTCCCACATGATCAAGCCATACTAATACAGAAAGTTGTGGCATTGGAGAGAAGGGAATTTGTCAAATAAAGTCTTCCAGACACATCTCGGATAGCCAAATAATTGCCTGAATCAAGAGTTCCACATCAAATGTGTACCAAGGCTCATTTAACAAGTTAGCAGAAGTCCAGAGAGCTGAAGGACACATGCAGTATTTTATAGCAGCAGAAGGTTCTCCAGAGGTTTATCCTCATATTCGCTCATGGCACGACCATGACCCTATCTGAGGCCATGCTTTGGTCAAACCAGGCAGACCCAGGTCCCCTCTGGATGGAGAGGCAGCACAGCAGGGAATACCATGCACAGGCTTAGCACTACCGTGCAGTCGCAAAGTACTCACCAGTAACAGACTAAAGTCCTGCCATTCACAGAGCACCTTTAGCCAGGGTAGGCTGCAGTCATGATTTTCATTTTGCAGTTCAATTTCTCTTAACAAATAATAAAATTTAAAAAAAAAAAAAGACAAAACAAGTTACACCAGGTTTGACCATCTCCCGCTCACACAAAGCAGTAAAACACTCCCATTATTCCAAAACACATCACAGAATGACAGAATGGTTTGGGTTGGAAGCGATGCTAAAGACCACTCAAGTTCCCACCCCCCTGCCATGGGCAGGGACACCTTCCACTAGGTCAGGCTGCTCAAAGCCTCATCCAGCCTGGCCTTGGACACTTCCAGGGATGGGGCATCCACAGCTTCTCTGGGCAACCTGTTCCAGTGCCTCAACACCCCCTCTGGGAACAATTTCTTCCTGATATCTAATCTAAACCTTCCCACTTTCCATTTAAACCCGTTACCCCTTGTCCTGTCACTACAGGCCCTGTAAAAAGTCCCCCCCAGCTTCCTTGCAGGCCCACATTTTTTTAATGAATTTCAATAATTTAACGCTAAACAAAGTGTGAACGTTCGTGTCTCATTTATAGTGTTCTTAAAAGTGAAATCTAGGGAAAGTGTTTACACCGCAGCAGATTTCAGTACTAGCACTTTGAAGAGAAGTTCTTGAAGCGTTAAGACAGTATGGCAACACTGGTACAATACTAAGTGCAAACACAGGCCATGTAACAGCAGGTTTTCACATTTCTACCTTTGAAAAAAAGTTCCTTTAAACATACATTAAAACAGAAGTCGTTCAGTGTATTCACAGTGTGAGTAGAGACGGAATCAGGTGCTGGAGTAGACAAAAGAAGGATGAATGATTCCCAGGCAATTATACTGCAAGTCCAAAGGCACTGACAATACAGTACACAGTCTTATTATTCTCCCATCTCACAGTGCAGGTTCCATTGCTGCAGTTGTCCCAGAAGCAAGAGCTAGCTGTACGCAGCCCAGCACCATTCTTCTGCATAATCACACAGGTCACAATGTACTCGAAAGGCCCCCCCAGCTTTGTGGACGAGCGTTTTGTTCCACCGTGCGTGTTGCCCACTGGTTCGCTTTGCTGTGCTGGTAGGCACTGCCGCCTATCGCACTTCCTATGGTCTCTTTAATGATGCTACCGACTTCACCAACAGCAAAGGAAGTCCCGGCCACCGACTGGGAATCGTCCATGTTCCTGGTGGAGCCTCTCACTCCGCAACCGACACCCCAGCACCACCCCCCTGACCGCT